TGGAGGTTTTTTGAACCTCCTCTGAGAGGATTTCAAAAGGTTTCAGAGCTCATTCTAATGATGCCTGCACATTGTTCATTCCGTTCTCACAGTCTGAAGGGTGATTCGGCATAAAGTGAATATTCACTTAAAGTGCATCAGTCTTCTTGCATCTCATCCAAAACCTAAACAGAAAAGAGCTGAGTAATCCTGAGAAAGTCCATCCGTTCCCACTCTATATGCAGTACGACCTTGGATAAACCATTTGTCCCTATTCTTTGTGAGAGGTCAGGTGACTGCAGTGCCGGACTCAATGACAGTGACTGCTTACCTCATTTATGAAACACAGCCATCTGCCAAGGAGAGCCCTCTAGTGGCAGTTTGACCTTTCAACTCTTGACCCCAGTTAGCTTCAATTTTGGTCCTCCTACTGTGCAGGTGTTTAAGATGCCTTTAACATCTCTCTAGTGTCATCTCAGCATGGTATTTTCAGAGAGTACAACTGTGCTACTGCAAACCTAATGTAAGCCAATGGAAAGAGAGTAGGATGGAGTAGGAGGTATAATGTGCAGTATGTGTCCACTGACTTCAAAACATATATTCTATTTATATATATTTCAGTATTTGTTTTATATGAATGAAAAGTTTTTAACGGTAACCTTGCAGTTACCTTCTGTGTTAAAATGTTAAATGACTTGATGAATGAAAGAACAGCTATAGATAAAGTTTTACTATTTTTCAGGGAATTTTAATCATCTGAATCCATTTACATTACATTACCCTACATTTCTATTTGGCTCTAGATAGAAATCTAGACCATTAGTGTCAACACATTGGCAGTATAAGCATTTTACCTAAATTTTGTGGTAATACTGCCGTAGCATATCAACTTAATGTACTTTCATGTGGTGTCAAATTAATCGAAAAAATGATTTCCGGACTCGAAAAATTCACATGAATGTTACTTGAAGTCGCAACAACAACTCAGAAAATCTGTGAAAGTTTTGGTTCAGGAGTTGCTGAGTTTTTGAAGCTATCATTCATAATCAAATCAACATAATTTTACAATCAGCACTATATCGTATTTAAATCTGCACGTCCATAAGCGCCCAACAGCAGACTTTTTAACCAATATAGTTTTTATGATAAATGTATATATACATTGTATACATTTTATATTGTATACATGCCTGATCCTTTTTCTTCATTCTTCATTATGCAGATATCAGAAAGCGGCATCACGGTGTTGTTTAAACACTCTAAACACAGAAATTCAAAATGGTTTGTTAACAGCTCCCAACATTTCCCCAAATTTCAACTTCAAAGCACATGAACACATAAAAGTCAGAACAACAACTTCACAACTCAGGGAAAAAGGACCTTCCAAAGAGCATGTGAATGCATAATCATTCAATTAAGCACAAAACTACATTTGTTTCTATACATTTGTGACTAAAAAGGACATGACAGTTTTGGGGAACCATAAGTGGCTCATTTACCAAGAACCTTCTCTCTTCTAATCGGCTCACTGTTCAATAACAGCTCTGAATATGGAATGAGACACGCTCTCTTATGTATAGGCTATGTGGTTAATAAAACATGAAGCACCCTGATTCGAATAAAAAGCATCTTAATCACCTCGTCAGAACCCCCATGAGGACCAAACTGAGGCCAGTGAGTATCTCAGATGTGTGGGTGGAGGAGGTGTGACGAGGCGAGGTGGTTGGAGGACGCTGGAGGAGTCCAGGGAGAAAGCCTTTGATGTTAGAGCGACCTGTCAGATTAGCACAATGTCACCAGCTCAGAGAGACGAGGGGAGCAAGAGGAGAGACTCCAGGCTGAGGTAACACTAGAGACTGACAGATCTCTGCCATCAGTCCTATTATTGTTTTGTTTGCTGAGGCCATGGTGACTTCATCACAATGTTGCTCAAGTACATGTGAGAGAGATATTCATTAGGGACATAAAAACAATCATATTTTCTATGCTATTCATTTATAATATTTCATTTTGGTGACTGATAACACAGTACCAAGTTGATTGCTGAGAAGCCAGTTTATCTAAAGCTCTTAATTTGGAAGTTCAAGTAAAGTGAATGGACCTGCAATGCAGCTAATAATGTCTATTTTAGATACAACCAATGTTTGTACAAAGTTGAACCAGGATTTTGGTGTAATAATGTTATTCTTGTGTTTTCATTAAGTGTTGGTTTGTTTGTCAGCAGGATTATGAAAAAACTGCACAACTGATTTCCATTAGATTTTGTGGATGGGTGCGACATGGCCCAAGGAAGAACCCATTCAATTTGGGGGCAGATCCAAATAAATTGGTGCGATTCAGAATTTCTTTCACTTCCTTTGCAGCCTTTCCCACAGAATAAATTCAGTGTATGGCGTTTGCGAGGGTGCACGTGCATGGTGGTCATTCTCATGCACAACCGAGTGACAGGTACAGAGACTAAAGCATAAAAAGAGAAGTTCTCAGGTGAGAGGGAACTGCATTTCATGGCACTTGTGGGTACATTCATAACTGCAGCTGAAACTATGAGGTCTTCCGCCATTTTCAGCATTTAGGCTACTTCTTGTTATCGTTTCCAATAAAAAGGATGTTAATTACAGTAACAGGAAGTAGAAATGGAGGGGTAATAAATGGTGAGACACACAGCCAAAGGCAGACTCACCATAGACTGATAGACAATGTGTCAGTCAGCTTCCCAAAAATGAAGCAAGTTTTGTTCCAAAGATGATTTCGGTCATTTTAGGTGATTCTTATAACACTGATATAGGTGTGAGTGCTCTTTTTCTAGGTTTATTTAGTTATGTAATGTAGATCCAGGATTCCTGCAGTGGCCACATCGTGGATCATGATGATGAATCTGTGACTGTGAGCATACCAAACACCAAGGCCATTAAAATCACACTTGTCCTCTACAACCACACAGTAACAGCTGGAAAAACTCGACCAATTCTGTCTGCAGGTGCAAGTGTCACTTTGTACTACACGCTGTCATGGGTTCTGAGAAACATGTATTCCGGCAGAATCAGAGTCCTCTGCTCTGTGTGGTGTTTTATGCCATCAACATATGCAGGATGAGAATCTGATTTGAAAGATTCCTTTGCTGCACAAATGTTTAGTGGTTTCTGTTTTGGTTGTGACCACGTGCCAGAGAGGGAAATGTGTCGTTTTCCTCCTGCATCACTGTACAAGCATCACAATGGAAGAAGAAGGCTTTTGTGTATTAGGCCCAGTTTAGTGTGCAGCTGATTCAGTGTGACACTGCCCAGCTGGGTGCCATGATAATGCCATCATCAGGGATCTGTCACTCCCCCCTTTTATCCCCTCTTATGGAGATGGTTCTTCAAGGGCCAGGATCAAAGCGGTAGTAGGCATGCCGGGGCTAGGAAAGGGTTAGTAACCAAGCAGAGGGGATGGAGACGGTCAGGCAGGTATTCACTGCTGCATTGCCTGATCCCTGTCTGCCAGACACTGCACAGGAAGACGTCAGCTCTGGACGAAATCTGCTGCAGCGCTTCTTTCGGAGGTGGGATCAGGGTGAATTCAAGTTTAAAGCGGTAATGAACAGTGGATGTAGTGTACCACGGGACACTGCTGCCAGCGTTGTCTCAGAGTTGCCTGTACACCAACGCTGTTACGTAACCGTAACAACCACGACAACGTGACAAGCCGTGGAAACCGAGGGCAAGAACACAACATCCTGCTGTCAGCAAGAGAACTTGAAGATCTTCTCTGCAGTGTTGCCGTGGCCCACACATCTAAAGATAGCTGGTCCCTGTGACACCTTCAGACTGGAACACACACAAATGAAAACAAAAGTGCACAGTATGTATTAAGCACTGTCTCATATATTACACACAGACACACATCAGACTAGGATTCAGTAACTGAGCATCTCATTTGTACAGCAGCAGCTGAGTAGCATCATTTTCTATGCAATGAAACCAGTTGAGTCTACAGTGTGTGGGCGGTGGTGGATGTCAAACAGCAAATTAAAATGACTGATTTATCACACTGCCAGAACGATCCACTGATCAATACCTTTCAAAACAGTGTATTTCCCATGAGCGCTGCTTGGTGACTCCCAGTGGAAATGTGAATCCCAAAGACGATTCACAGACTGAGTGGCGCTTCTCACTGAATGGCCGGCTGCAGTATATCACCGAGTGTGATGAGGAAAAACACTCCAAAACTAAATGTTTTAAAAAAAGCCAACAACAACCAGTGAGTGTAGCAGACAAACACCATGTCAGCTCACAGTCTGAGAGCCAAGTGCTGCCTTCTGCCATTTGGATCACCATGGAAACAGCCAAATACACAACCATCACTCTCATCAGCTTCAGCTCAATATACTGCAGTCCATGTGTGAGTTGTACATTACACCTTCACCTAGCTGCAGGAATAGTATGTCACATATAGGTGCATCATACAAAACACATTCACTTGGTGGTTTTCTTTGCACGAACGGCATCATCTGCAGGCAATGATAACAATTATGTTTATATGGAGAGGAATAAACTGGGTGAAGGGACAGCTTGGTGGGGAAACACTGCATGGGCTCCAGCTGTGAAACACCTGCACATGTGTAAATGTCAGCTAATCAATGCGTGTTATTTTTAATGCACCGCTATAATGAGTCATCTGAGACGTAAGTGGAGGGACACCATTGGACAACATCTCCTTCTGTGTGTTGCATGGCACAAAAATGACCCTGATTCGTTGTGCCTCTGTAAATGGCCCAGTTATTAGAGCAATAAGGCCTACAGCCCAGCACAGCCCAGCACTGAGCACATACAGGGGGATAGTACATGACGCACGTTTACAACACAACCTACGACTGTTGCATACAAATTCACAGGGATGTGATCGGGCTGCAGACGAGAGCACCTGACACTGCGATGCGTCTGCCATCCATCCAAGCACCTGTCCAGAGCGCACAGAGGTGACAGCTGTCACAGCTCGCGTCCAGCCCTCCCCTCCCACCGTCTCCCCCCTCTGCTGCTTACCTGCTCTGTGCGCTTCACCCAGGCGAACCTCGGTGATGCTGCTCGGGTCACTCTGAGATCTGCCCCGCTGCAGCACGCAGTCCTCCTCCTCCTCCAGCCCGGCGGCGGAGCACGATGCCATGGTGGGAGAGGGGAAGCACGGAAGCAGCACTGGAAGGCGTAGCCACCGCCGGCCAAGGTCGCCAGCATCAAGTGGTGGGGCTGCTTCACTGTGGCTGCGCTGCTGCAGCTGCAGCTCCTGCTCCAAGACAGGCAGCAGCGCTGCTGGGGAAATCCATTACGCGCGCAGCATCATGGCGCCTTCCTGTGCGCCTCGTAATTCCCCAATTTTTAAATTTTCTCCAACATCTCTACAAAATCTATATTCAACATGTGTCGACCAACTTGGTTTGATAATTGAAATAATAGATATCTAGAGTCCAGACATTGCAAATGTGCTTCAGACATGTAATCTAGGCCATGCAATTGAGTATTTAATTATGTTATATTATTACAATAGAGCCTGCAGCTCACCTTTCTTCAAAGCTGCCACTAGGTCGACGAATGTGACTAAATGCATAGACTTCAGTACAAATTTGGTGTATTTGTACTTTTGGCGTATTTGGAGAAAAATATTGTTCTGATATATAGTCACCAGTTGTTTTATACATAAAGAATTCAGGCAACAAGCAAAACATATGAATAACTTTTACAATAAGGATGAACCATAAAACATTTATATAAATGTATGTAACCTGTCATTTCGCCATGCTTTATTGTGTGATGACGTTAAAGTAATTCTATTATTAGATGTAATCAGTTGCTTGATTTGTAAAACTTTTAAAAAATAATCATTTTTTAGCAGATTGATCCTTAAAGTATTTTGTCATACTAAAATCCAACTACATCCACTTCAGACAGCTTTGATAGTAGGTCCAATATTATCAGGGCCATTTCCCTACAGTGATTTTCAAAGTATGGACACCTACATACTTTTATGTAAGTAATATTTCAGTTCAGTATTTTAGCATCATGGTACTTCAATAAAGGATCAGAGTATTTCCTCTGGCTAAACTCCTTTCTGGGGGATATATTTCACGCTTTGATGACTTATAGTGCAAGAGGCAAAGTCTCAGAGGTGATCTGTCCCACAGCCCCTGAAGGCAGCATTGGATTAACGTCTACTGTGGAAGAAAATGGGGACTCTGTTAATGACGTTTTCCCACTGGCCTGCGTTTATTGAGTAAAGCAAGCAGGGCTACACAGAAGTGAGATCTGTCTGCTGAGAAGCTGCTGTTATTTTCTGTCAGAATTACGAACATGCTGCTCTGAAATGAAATGGAGGAAAGTAAGGTCAAGAAAATAAGACCAACCTTGGAGCGCAGACTAGGGTTTTATGGTTTAACTATGGTGGTAAAGCATTGATTACTGATCAGTTCTTTCCGTTAAGTCAGAGGATTAGTGTCTGACCCACTGGAACACAGTTGTCACTCCTCTTGCCGCACGCTCTGTCTTGAAGGAAGATGTGTCCCACAAAGCAAAAATGTTTTGGTGCAGATTTGGCCCACATTCCACACATTGCACATTAGGCCCACATACCACAGGGAATGATGGCACTTGGGCAGTCGGCTCCCTAGTTCACATACAAATTACACCTTGACGACAACCCTTCATGTTTGCCAACTTTACAAGGAGGCCACTGTAGGCTCACATCCATTTTGCTTGGGCCACAAGAAGGCAGAAGTGCAGGATCATTGCCTGAAGTGGCCCACATCCGTATTCTATCTGGGGTGGGTCCCACTCTTGAGAGGAGAGAGAAAAGAAAGGAGCACACAGGAATGAGCTGCACTATGGCACACATTGAGGGTCAGGAGGATAGCTGGCAGACATGTCAGGCTGAGTCACTAGGACGACTCGACAATTTTTATCCATAAGCCTTTTGAGACACACACCTGGAAAGAATGAGGAAGCATCATATACTGTTCATCAGGGTTTGACACGCGAGTGGTAAAGCAGTCATCTGAAACCACAGAGCTTGGCTCACTAACATGAACATTTACAGGACCGCAAAGATGTAGTCTTTGGCTTTGTACCTGTCAAGGCCATGATTGTATGGGTAAAGAAAGAATGACAATTAGATATATTTTCATTGCCTCCGACAGTGTGAAGGGAGGTTAAAAAACAACGGGTCCGCAGTTTATTTTATCCTTGCTATACAACAACAAGTTCAGTGTTACTCCTGTGGCTCAGGAGATAGAGTGGATCATCCACTAACCAGAAGGATGGCGGTGTGATCCCTGTCTCCTCCATTAGGCATGCCGCAGTGTCCTTGGGCAAGGTACTGAACTCCAAATTGCCCCTGATGGTAGATAGAAATAGAGAAAGTGCTGCACAGAGATGCACAGTATGAATGTGTACATGAATTGCTATATAGAGTTTTGAGTGTTCATGAAGGAAAAGCATTATTAGGATACAGACCATGTACTACTATGGAATACTCTGCCGTGCTTATTTGTTATGTTTTGTTTTACAAAGTTAGGAAAGCAATGTTTAAGTCAGGTCTGATGTTGCCTTACAAATAAAAGAATGATCTCAGGCTCTGTCACACAGTGAGGACTAAGAATACTCGGCTTAGTGCATAGCTAACAAAAACACTACAGCTAAGAAAAAAACAGAATGCAAGCAAAAAATGTGGGAAATATGTTCCAAATCCAGAAATGCAGACACAAACACACATTCTGTGTCTTTTTGTATTTAAAGTAGTATGAAAAGATAAATACAGTTGACTATATCATAACTTTAATGGGATAGCTCTGTCGGGAAATACTGTATGGGAGTGCCAGTTGACCACTGCATAAATTGTATAATTTATACAGCTACATGAATCTCTCTTAATAAATACATATTAAATACATACAGAGATGAGAGGGGAAATATTAAGAACTGGAGTCTGGGAGTTCAGACACTGAGCTGACACACACACACAATGTTCGAGTGGTCAAATTTGATGAGGCCCAACATTTTTTTTGCTGTTTATGTGGCGGGCGGCTGTGGCTCCTCCTCCATCCTGAAGGTTGGTGGTTCAATCCCAGTCTTCCCCTTATCGAGGCAAGATCCTTAAACCTTCTAATAGAAAAAGGTGCTGCACATATGAATGTATAAATGTATAGGTGAATGTAAACCTGTACTGTGAAGTGCTTTGAGTGTTCATCAAGACTAGAAAAGCAACAGTTAACAATCCTACCAGGGAATGAATAAATAAATATATGTAACTTCACGTTATAATGAAGTGATCAGTACATTTCCAAGAAGGCCAGTCCAGCATGGCACTTGATTATAAACAGTGTAATCACACAGCTGGTAGTGGAAGGAGTCAGAGGCTGCCAGGTGACCAGAGAATGTGTTTAAAGTAGACAATACGCCAGTTTCCAGCTGATTACAGGAGCAAACAGGATGATAGGCCTGGAGTAGCCGTTGTTTGTCTGAAGAGCAGAGACAAGAAAAGAAAGTGAGCAGCAGAAATATGAATACACTTTGATTTGACTGCATTATATCAAACCATTCCAAATACTAAAACCAACCATCTAAAATGGGAATGTGACATGTAGACGGTAGACACAGTAGACATGTACCTTGCTCTGTGTGACCACAGTTGTTGAATCCAAACCCTAAATGTGCACAGTCTGTTATTGCTGACTCATATCCTGCACACTGAACATTGTCCAACCACATTGGTCCACTGGCCTGCCCGAATACCCTGCGTGGTGCAGACGCAGCCCAGCTGTTGACAGACCACCCCAGCTTCATACAGCCCCCAGCTGTCAGCACAGATCTCCCCTCTGCCAGAGCAGTGGCTCCTGCATCACTGGAGATACGAAGCCATTATATACAAATGTCACTGATCCAATAATGTGCTAAATCAAGCATAAAGTGTGTTTTGTAAATGTATGGTTACATTCACAAAGATATGATTTAACATTTGTCAGCACTCTACTACAGAAATCTTTTCACACTTTATTTTCTAACATGCTTACATGATCTAAACATTCTGCACTAGGATGAATATGCCGATGATAAATCTCAGTCACACTCTGCTGTGGCCTGTGAGAAATACCTGAGAGAAATACAAAAGAAACTGTGAAGCTCAGACATCCATGTGAAGTCACTATAAGCACATGTTTTTAAGCTTTAAACATTACATTTTAATATACCACTGATATATACATATGTCTACCGGACTAATTAATATTCATATACTCTATGGTGCTGTCTTCGGGCTTTCAAAACTAGACTGACCCTTAGTGGAGCGCATGCCCCACCAACAGTCTCCTTAAATTCTAAATCCTAAAGCTGCATCCAGTTTCACACACTTATATATCAGTTCTCTTAACATGCCATCCCGGGGAAAAATGTAAGATTTTGAAAAGCGTGCTATCTCATTATGTTTAAGAAAGGGAGAAACAAATCTGGATCCATCCCCTGATCTGGATCCACACAAAACTGTAATGAGTTCTTCCTTGACACACTCTACAACCTTCCATCAGGTTCCATTGTAATCTGTCCAGTTGTTTTGTGTAATCTTGCTTACAAGCAAACAAACAAACTGACCAGGGTGAAAACACAGCATCCTTGACAGAGGTATATCCTGAATGCATTGTTAGTGTGCACCAGCGTCATTACATGGTTTTGTGTTTCCTGTTATGTTCATGTTCTGGACACTGAGCTGACAGCAGCAGAGAGAGGGACAGATTTTAAAATTTGACAAAATTCATGGTCGTCCTTAAAACCCGACACAATGTCGGAACAGTGTTGGTTATTCCATGACAGATTACTCTATTGCTTCTTTCTGGGTGCTTCATATATTTCAAGTGGATCAGAGCAGTAACGAGGAATTAGAAGCATTTGAATGGAAACCCTAAACAATAAAAACACTGACAGTGGTCGCCATGTTTACTGATGACCTGCAGGAGCAGTGGGAACACTATAGAACTGAATGTCCCCCAACAACACCAGTAATAGTGAAGGGAAATTGTATGAACAGAGACTGATACCCACGGGCTTAGAGCCTCATTACATGCTCAGAGGCTTTCTACTACACCTTCACTCCCATTTGATGATTTATTCATCCTGCTACATACAGATATGGCAGGGGAAGTCATAATGGTACATCAATTCCTTCCATGTATCACTGTGCATGTGTCAACATACTGTAAACCATGAAAACCAGCCTGAGCTCGAACATGTTCATCTGCAGTAGATGCTTAAGACATGTTGTTTGTGGTGGGCGTGATCGCAGAAGCTCAGGCAGTTGGAACAACCATTACTGGGTGCACCCGAATGGAAAATGATGTGGTAATGAGGTGACAGTCCTGCAATCCACATTAAGTGTTTTTTTTTGCTGATGATGGCGCCATATGGAATAATGTTTGTAATATGGATTATATTTCAGGCAGTTTCTGCAGGGGTAAGACAAAGTAGATATATAGGAAGAATAAATGTGTTTCAAGTATGAGGCATTTGGTTTTAAAAAGAAAACAACACTAGCACAAGCTCAAGTTATATCATGTCAATTTAAAAGGGTTAAAATGATTATAGATTCCTGGGGGGGTCTAGTTAGAGTACAGAATGACATGAGGGGAACATGTGGAAAAAGTACAAGATTTGAGAAAATATCTAGCAGAATCTGACGTTGGGTGCAATAGCTTCCTCTGACTTAAGCACTTAGAATAGGGAACGGTTAGTCACAGACTGCTTCTGTTTCTATGTACAGCCAAGTGTGAAACATAATTTGATCTTCAGAAGAGGCAGAAGAGGTGAAGCCATACTAAACTAGGCTGAAAGAGGTAAACTGTGCTTCAAAACAGATGGCAAGTGCTGAGACTGTTACACTGGTTTTAATCCACTGCAGCTACTATCACAGAGAAGGTAACTCTTTCTGTAACATCTCACAAGCAGAACATACTATGCAGGACGGGTGACTGAATAGGCTATATGAAGATGTGAAAACAATGACACTGCACATAAAGATATATACACTGCATATAGGATATATAAAATATATTCGCTATATACAAAGATACAAAGATCTATTGACGGTATATAAAGATAAATACACTAAAGATATGAAGATAGATTCTCTGTTTCTAAAGAGTAATAGAGACATACACTGTATATGAAGATATATACATGTATGTACAAATACGAAGATACATTCTCTGATTAGAAAGATAAATAGATACACATACAATGTTAATGAAGATATATATATATGCATATAAAAATATGAAGATACATTCTCTGTTTTATATGAAGATATATGTTCTGTTTATAAAGATACATTTAAGTAAATAAATACACAGTCACTGGTTTACGATTATCAGTGGAGTTCTGTGCTTGGCCTGAAGAGGGCAGCAATGTGTTTTCGCTGCGTCCAGAGTCTGAAGATCGAGAAGAAGTCTGTAGAGAAACATGGCAGACAGAGAGGCGGACACTGTCAACGATGTTAGCGGTCTAATACAGAGCTGCGATGGTTCAGGGAGCGCTGGGTCCCCAGAGGATGAGAGCCCGGACAGGCCTGAGCATGGAGCGGAAGCCCAGTCCACCAAGGACCTGAAAAGCGTCCTGGTCACCAGCGTTTTGAACTTAGAGAAGCTGGACGTAGACTTGTACAGGTGAGGTCACCGTGCACCGCTGTGACGACATCACCTGGTCGTATAGAAACAACAGAGTACTGCAGGAATTGACTTTATGGGTTCCACACCTAAACTGTTCCCTTGTCTCTTTTTCCTTGGCGTTTGTATTCCTGCAGGAAATATACTCTTTAGCCATCTAAGCTTTATGACACGTTTTGTTCAGCAACACAAGAACAACAAATGAACACAACGTCTGTGTGTTTTAAAGTGTGCTAACATTAGTCGGAACCACACGGACTACAGCGCGGACTTATGCGTCACCACCATAAATGTTCCTATTTCTAGTTGAGCCATCTCTCCCACGTGTTCTGCAGAGGACAGTTGATGTTGTTTAGGAAGGAAGTGAGTATAAACGCAACAAGGATGTAAAGGCGGACTGTTATTCAGTGGTTTTCCTGTTCAGCTTGATGATAAAATGTTGTTGACAACCTGTGTAGTCTCATGTAGCCCTTTCTTAACATATACAGCACCAGAGATGAATTAACTGGTGTGTTTTATGTCATGGAATAGAACATGATACTGTTTTAACTGAGCTCGTGTGAACCACAGACCTTATTCCAAGTTTCTAACTTTGGGACAAAGGAACCGGAAGTGCAGAAACGCTTACGTTGCAGTGCATCCCCACCCTGCTGCTTTGTTTATGAATGCAAAATACAAAACACTGTATCATTTGTATCTCAAAGTTAAGAGTACACCTGTAAATCAACAGGTGTTGGCTTTAATGAACTTACTCTCATTCAAATCAATGAGTAGACTGAACATCAGAGCCATCATAGAGGTATCTGTTGTTGGAGGAATGTTTTATTAGACTATATTTGTTTTTCAAATTTTCTACAGAGGGACTCATCACTGGGTACCGCGCTCCCAGCGTTTGTTTGGGGGTCAAATAATCGGTCAGGCCCTTGTTGCCGCGGCGAAATCTGTCGCTGACAACTTCTATGCCCATTCTCTTCACTGCTACTTTGTGCGAGCAGGTAAGATGAGCTGACTCCATAAGACGTGAACTGAACATGTGATATTAGAGAGTGTTAATAAAAAAGAAGAACTGAAAAAAACAGTTTCACAGAGTTCTCCATTGAACAGTTCCTCATCTACCAACCATAATCATATCATAATCGATAGAAAGGTCCAGATAATTGTGCACAGAGAGAGTCCCAGTTACTGTTTCTCTTCAGATGTCTTCTGGATGTTTTTCAGGGGATCCTAAGGTTCCAGTGCTGTACCAGGTGGACCGCACAAGAGATGGTCGTAGTTTCACAGTGCGCTCCGTGAGGGCCATCCAGCACGGACAGCCAATACTGATCTGCCAAGCGTCCTTCCACAAGCTGCAGCCGAGCCCTGTGCAGCATCAGTTTACCATGCCTGTGGTCCCTCCGCCCGAAGACCTCCTCAATGTGGAGGAGCTTATTCATCTTTATCTCAAGTAGAACAACCATTTGTTTTGTTTGTGGAAAAAAAGCAACATTCACAAGGGACTCGTACAGACAAAGCACACGTATAGCAAGGCATATGTGGAGCTTTTATTCTCAATTGGTTAGATTACAGTATTACATTAGAAGTTACCATCAGTAGTTTCAAGCTTTAATTTTTTTTAAACAGCATCTGCTGTTTTTCCATGAACAGTGCATGAGGGGGACAAAGAGGGAAAAAAGCTGTGAAATGATTGAGAAGATGAAAAGTGAAGAATCATATAGAGGAATGAGGTTACTGGAAAAGTTAATTCATCATTCAAATATCTAAGTTCTTTATTTATTCCATGATCACTTGTTCATTTTATTTGAAACATCTGGTCTATGAGTATCCCAGTAGAATCTTACAGAGGTGCTGAAGCAGTTCCACTAACAGCAGACACAGTGACTCTTTAACAGAAATATATTTGCTATAATAGTCCTTGAACTGCCCTGCAGATGGTGTTTCTCAATCACGATCTTCTGTTATTTTACAGTAAACCAGACCTGTCGGAGAAATTAAGACAAGGCCTTAACAAACTGCTGGCTAATGAGATCCCCATTGAGATAAAGCCAGTCCAGCCACTACCCTCTTACAGACCTGCTGCCTGTGAGCCGAAGAAGCTGTTCTGGGTGCGAGCACATGGATACATTGGTAAAATTAGCTTAATTAATTATTCTGCTGTTTGCAAAAATGTGTTACATATATGAAATATAATTTTATGCTACATCCTGTAATTCTACAGTGTCCAATTTTTTATGTGTTTTTTTAAGTGCTTTGCTGCAGCTAAAACAGTAGTAGCTAGTAGTAGATAGTATCAATATTTAATGATAGAGCAAACTTAGCAGTTGAAGGCATGCACAAGAAAAATGTTGCAACACTCCATACATGTTTGGAAACATTTTTTTATGTGAAAATAAATGAAATTGTGAGACTTTTAAGACACTATAAGCTGAATTTGATGATACATTTTATATGTGTGTTTATGTAGGTGAAGGCAACATGAAGCTGCATTGCTGTGTGGCTGCATATGTGTCAGATTATGCATTCCTGGGCACTGCACTGTTGCCTTACCCCAGCTACAAGGCCCAGTTCGTGGCCTCTCTGGACCATGCTATGTGGTTCCACACCACTTTCCGCAGCGACGAGTGGATGTTGTACGAGTGTGACAGCCCATGGGCAGGTCAGTGTTGTGTGTGCCAGGCAGTTTTGAAATAATAATAATATCTTTATTTATATAGCATTTCTCAATACAGAATGCTTCAGAAATACATTTCAAAAAACACTATAAATTGAATAGACATTTAGATAGTGTGACAAATATTTAAGTATGCACCCATTACGATAATAAAAACTAGAATGAGGTATCAGGGTAAATCAGGGAATCCGGTACGATACAAGTACGTTTTTAGCTTTGATTTAAGGGAAGTTACTGACCTACCATATTTCCTCAGGCAGGGTGTCCCAGAGCCAATGAGCTCTTATTTCAAAAGCTCTATGCCCCCATAGTCTTTCGCCGACAATCCAGTTTAAGGGCACCTGCCCGAGGATCTAGATGTGGAATCATGGTTGTAAGGGGATGAAAGAGCCGTAATATACTGAGGAGCCAGACTATTAAGTGCCTTGTAAGTACTTGAAAGAACCTTGAAATCAATTCATATAATGTACTACAAGCCAGTGTAAAGAGGCTATAACCAGAATGATGTGTTCCAACCTGTTAACTCTGGTGAAAAGCCTGGCAGCTGAGTTCTGTCTGAAGAAGCTGTACACATTTTCTATTTAGGCATATAAAACAGCTGTTAGAGTTTTCCAGGCGTGATTAGATAAAAGAATGTATAATGGTTTCTGTATATTTAAAATTTAACAAGGGTCTCCAAACCACAGTAACTTTCAGAGAGGTCTGTTGTACATTGTTAATTTTGCTAAGAGCTACACAAACAAATCTGCCAGTATAGTATATCACCCAATGTGAGTTTAGTGCAGAATATCAATACTAACATTAATATTTTATAATGCATCAGTTTAAAGGGTTCCTTGTACAATTAACACCCTGTGTTCTCTGATAATCTTGAACTGAATTGAGTTACAAATAAATGTATAACCTTGTGAATCAGTATGGAAGCGATTCCAAATCAGGCAATACTCGACCTGAATGCAACTGCTGCAGCTTGTGTCAGCCGACCTTGTCAAAATCCTGGAGACAGATCACTCCTGTGCATCATGCTTTTGTCTAACGTGGTTTGTGTTGTGTCCTGCAGGGGGCAGTAGAGGACTGGTTCAAGGCAGATTGTGGCGAAGAGATGGGGTCCTGGCTGTGTCCTGTTCCCAGGAGGGAGTCTTGAGAGTGAAATCCCTCACAGAGCCCAGCAAACTATAAAAACATTCCTCAGTCTAATTTATGTATAGCTCCATGTTGTCCATTTTTAAAATAGATTAATATAATATAAATATATTGATTATGAGGTTTATGATTTCTGTATGAAGAACATGTTGACAGTCAATAAAGAATGAGAGGTTCTAATGGAGGCATGCTTGTCATTTGTTCAATGAGATTTATTCTATGAGCTGCTCATCGTCACATACTTATATTTGAAATTCATCAATGTCGAGATCATATTCTACTGCAAGGATCTGCTTATACTTTTTGAAGTGTCATTGATTTGACACATCATTTTCTATTTAACATAAGAAATACAAAGCACAGAGGTTTGTTTCATCAAGCTTTTGGAAAGGCATCACACAAACATAAGAGCAGCATTGACTCTATCAGTGTGCTAATAGTGGACAGATCTTAGTTGTGATTAGAGGTGGAAAACAAACAGATATTTAATGTAGAATAATTCTCATGATGTTTTCACTAGTTCGTTTCATCTAAATTGTATGAATTGTAGTTTTCTTTACTCCAGAAAAGGCCCTTTATATTTAAATACTTTATATTTACACGCTGAACACCCCTCACCTCACCCTCTCCATATTCAGCTGCAACATGAAACTTCAACACTAGATATCACAAAATTCTACACACTGAACCTTCAAATTGCAAACAGCAGCAATCTGCATGATCTGAAGTCGAGACACAAACTGAATACAGTGAGGACCTGAGACAGGACGACCATGGAAAATATACTGACTGATCCTCAAGGAGATGATACAAAGTGACATGATGGAATGATGTACAGATTCATCCACCTGCAATAGTGTCTTAAAATCTACTGACACATTTATGTGGAGTCATTTTTGTTTAGTTGTTTGTTGACAAAGTGGCTGAGTAGATTAAAGGCTGTGTAATTTTACATGTGTTTACTATTTACGTAATTGTCCTTCTTTTGGACAGCACGCTTTTATTTTGTAGTGTTCTGCCGGAAACGGACAGACCCCTGCGCGTCCTCAGCTCGGCCTCACTGCTGCGGCCCAACACCAACACTAGTTGTTTTCTAACTTCTGGAATCAACGCTCACATTCGATCGGAGATGCCGCGGGTCTATGTCGGCAAGCTCAGCTACCATGTTCGAGAGAAGGACATCCAAAGATTTTTCAGCGGTTATGGTAAATTGTTGGAGATCGACCTGAAAAATGGGTAAGACCACCTCGTCATGTTTAATAGCCTTGGTTAGCTAAATGCTAATGTTCCACTCGAGGCGGACCGGGTGTAATTGTTCGGTTATACAGCATTAATCAGCCTGGTGTTTGTGGGCTAGACTTAATAATTAGATAACCCCCACATGTTTGATTGTATTATGTTTAAAGTCACTCAATGTTTACCAGAACAGGCCGCTGTTGTTTATAAGCTAACATCAACGTTATCTCAGTCGCATGTAAGCTAACTGTTAACGTTGCCCTCACTGTCGTTGTTCAGAGTCCCTCTGGTTTTTAATGAGCAACTTTGCTAAAAAGAGATGTGATTAGCAATTTGTGCAAATCTTATATTATTATTATTTTTTCAATTATAATGAGAGACCCCGGAACTCGAGAATCTTCTAAAGCTAAATCGCAGCGCAGTTAAATGTCCCATGTAGCTCGTTAGCCGTGCAGTGTATTGCGTAGGCCCACGTAACTAGCATGAAACCTCGATGTGGATTCTAACAGCGTTAGTAAGTAGTCGTAGTACTAAGTTAGTTAGTATTTATCCAATTTAAGAAAAGTGTTTTGGATGACCCCGAGATGTTTAACTATAGACTGTGAGTCGTTGGATAAGGCACCAAGAGTATTATTCAAGCTTGTGTCAAAGGTAGAGGAGCCAGTTAAAATGGCTTCAGTTTTGTTTTCCTTAAGTTGAGAGACGTTCCTTGACATTCGAATTTGATGTCATCCAATTAGTTGAAAATATTTTAAATTGAGGAAGTGTTATTCAGGTGAAACTGCTAGATACATCTGAACGTCATTTCTGCACAGTGGTAAAAAATACTAAGTAATAGAAAACTGGAGTCAAGGGGAAGCATGTAAAGAGAGAGTAAAGGTGGACCAAACTAGAACCTTGAGGGATACCATCAGGTGATCAAGAGTAATCCCCTTTTTATTTAAATCATCTCTTTCAGAAACTTAATAGACTAGATTATGAATTTGTATTAAATATACCCCTCACATCACCCTCCCCTTCCAAACATGAAGAACCTGTGGCAGCGTTTAGTTTTCATAAAAACTCTAAAGGTTTTAGTTTGTCCAGTTTGGATGACAGTAAAAACCATGGCAGCCTCCATAGAGGGGACCCCCCCCCCCCCCCCCCCCCCCAAATATTAAGTTTTTAAGTTCTATGGTAAAGAAAA